GATGTTGGCTTGACCACATAATTTGGAGAACGGTAGGTATGTATGTATGTCTACCCTAGGTTCGCGTGGAATCTTCGAGAAGGTATTTCAAGTTATGTGATCACACCCGAAACAAATAATCATCCTTTCTCTAACACGTCTTTCTCGTCGTAAGCACTTCGATTGCTTGCATTCGAAATAGAAGTAAAATAAATTAAAACTAGAAACAAACGTGTTAAAGTTTTACAATCAAAAATTATACCTAAACAGATGATCAGTTCGTAAAACATTTTTCATTCACACACACACACACATTTAAAGATAAAATAAATATTTATCAAGAGATTCGTGTGTGCATAATTAATCCGCAATCAATTTTTGAAAAATTTAATCTTCTATTCTTCCATTCGCAAAAAAAGATATTATATTTAAACCTATAATTTTCTTCAACATTTTGTCAACAATACACCAATTCATAATGAATAAAGATAATAATAATGGCTCATATTTATGTAGCACTGGCGTTAAATTAAATAGAATATAGGTATACATATGTAGAGAAACCGAAAATTATAGAAATTCGGCGCTCGTGCGTATTGAAAATTATCGGTTGAACAACCGTGGTAGAGTTTATTAAACAGTAACAGAAGAAGAAGAATAGGCCGAAACCGCAGTCCAGACGCTCGAAAAGGGGTAAAAAGAAGGAATCAACTAAGAAGAGAGAAAGAGGGAGGGGGAGAAAGAAGAACAATGTGCGATCAAAATTGAAGAAACGAAAATAGGGTGTAGCAAACATAGAAGAGAGAGAGAGAGAGTTTCATCGTGACGAAGAAACCCGCTGTTATTACCTTCTAATATCATGGGTATTGTGCCCCAGTGAGAAAGAGCAAACGGTATAAAAGAAAACGTGCTGAGAGCTCGTCTCGAAAAAGGAAGTAAATAATTTAAGCGGAAAACAAAAAGTGAGGACGTGCGACGATCAGATCCGACACTTCTTTTCTTGAAATTCTTTTCAACGGGGCACGACAATCTTCCCCTTGTCCCGCGTTCTATTCAATCTCACTTTTGGCTCACGCTAGGTGCCTTCTCCTAATCACTGAATTTTACCAACTACCGAGATTAGCGTTGTTAGAAATTCAGATGAGCCGATGTCACGACGTGCACGCGACTTATAAGTCAGAGACAAAAATGCATAAGAGACTTCGACTTTTTCACTATCTTCGAAGATTACTTAAAATCTGAATTACTTATATTAAACAACGATGACGACGACGTCTTCTGTAATCTAATTATAATGATAAAAGTCGTAACAGTTAATATTGAGTTTTTAAAGCATTACTTAAGTGGTATATTTTAATGATAGATGCTTGAAAAAGTATCAGTCTATTATTGTTAATAGACACAAAATAATACAAAATATATTTCTAAATTTCTTACCATATTGTTTTATATAAAATAAAAGATAACATATTGCATTTATGATAATTTATAAACCTCGTTCGCGAGTTATCAAAATAAAATAAAACAAAAAATTGTGTCTTTCATTATTTTAACAACTATTATAATATTTCATAATCCTATTATTGAAATAATAATCTATAAAGAAAATCACAGGAGAGAAAATAATCTTATATGTTGTCCTAAATATTTTCAAAACATTTATTCATTTGGACAAACTAAATTTACAAAATCGTTCGATCTTTTTTTTAAAAAGTATTATTTCAAGGAACCCAAATTCGGAGTAAGAGAATGCGAAAGCAAGATCCGATTTAAAGATGATCGTTTGTCGTTTGATTCGCGTTCTCTTTCTCCGTTTCTCCCGTCTTACAGCGCATTGCGGTCGATGTTCGATAATCGCGAACCGGGACGACGAACGATGGGGTTTGTTTTTGCTCGTGGCGCGCGCGCACGGCTACTACGTGCTCTGATAATTAAGACATTTCCATTTAGAGTTGACGTCGGTCAAAGAGTGGTCAGAGTCCCACACCACTGGTAGCCCAAACGTACGCTTTCGGCAGTCCGTAGATCGAGAAAAAGGTAAATCGTTATGCATCGTGTCGATAATTAATGATGTATGATCGAAGATGGTCCTTCTTGGAACTATTAGAATTTCATTCGAATGCGAAAAAAGAGTGAAAATCTTATTTGCTATATATATTTCAATTTATCACTCTATTGTATTATATAATACCGAAAAAACTGTATCATTGTATATTAGAAACTTCTAATTCTTTTAATTAAGATAATGAGTTAACTAATCATGTAATTATATTTTGAAGATAACGTAAGTAAATTTAAACTCGATATGCATCATTTATATTTTCTTATTGAAAAATATATATTTGGAATCCCTATTCTAATCGTATAAAGCTTGAACGATTAATTTAGATATATTTACTGATTTATAGATACTATTTAAAATATTAGTACTATCAGTAAATTAGCTTCCAATTTAAAATATTCACATTCATTAGAAAACTTTTAAAGAGTTTTCCTTATAAATGTCTTTAATACGATTTTAATATATACACATTAGAAAAATATATACAATAAAGTATGTATAAAATCTTGTTCGATATCGCTACTCGTATTTACTCCTTTCAAGATTCCTATTATCTATTGAAAGAAGATGAAAAATGAAATGTATCGGTGGTGATTCATTGCATCGCGCAGATGTTCATAATTTACGAGGATTCCCGCGCCAACTAAGTCAGCGACGGTCATAGCGCCAAATCCGAACGCAGAATCAGGTACGAGAGAACGTTGGCAGGTTCTTTTCTCCCTCTGTGGCTTGACAAAATCATTAAGAGACTAAATCCAATAAAGGGGGATGGACCTCGTCGTCCGGGGGCACCCAGCATAAGAAAACATTCTCGGTGAGACGATCGACTGCATCGTAATCGACATCAATGATACCTCGTCGAGAGTTTGCGAACCAAATCGGATTGAATGTCGACAGTCGTTTCCATGTTAAATTCTTACAGTATATAACACATATATCCTTCTTATGACACGTCTTTCTGCTTGCTCCTCTCTATTAAATTAGCGAAATACCTTTGAGGAGTAAACGTACTACCATTGGTAGAATAATTATTGCATGTCTGAAATTCCTGTGTCTGAAAATAACGTTTATAAAAAAGAATTATTATGGCATCGAGACGTACAATTTATTACACCTCTTTCGTCAAATAACTTTTTCAAAATAGTCCTGTATACGTGTATTTACGCCACGTATATGCCCAATACCAATTACTTACGTCTTCAATTTACATTGAATTACATTTCCAACGGATTATTGGATCTCCTCTGAACGAAGTAGAAAAAAAGGTACCTAAGAAGAAGAATTACGTATCGATGATCGCGTCAATCATAGAGAGAATAAACTGATCATCTTGGAAAAGAAAGAGTATATTGACGAAAAAATAAAAAAAAAGATCAATCGCAACGGCGCGAGTTTCGAAGACAAAGATCACCAACCGTTTCGTATTCACTAGGTGGTTAAAGGAAGAGTGATCGTTGAAGGACAAGAAGGAAAGAAACGAAAACACGAAGATCGATATATAAGAAAACGTTCGCTTGGGCAAACTCCGACCGGATATATAATGGATATCTTTATTATCGTTGGAGGAGAAACTTTCAGTTCATGGGAGTTGGAGTTCATCGATGGTGGATCACTAGTGGTGATGATTTCGATCAACAACGACAACAACGGTTACGCTATACTACCATCACCAGTAGTAGTAGTAAAACTTCGGTTCCAATTGGTCCCCGTCCCTTCCCCTATCTCGTTATAAATATTTATTAAAACGATACGTTTATACGTGAACGACAAGACCGTCCGCAGATTTAAAAAAAACCGGGAGATTTATCGGAACGTGGTCTCGCGCCGACAGCCATTTCTGAAGCTATCATACATCAAGTCGTGCCTCCGCGACGATCCGGATTCTTTCCATCATTTTTCGTGGGACTTCGACTCGTGAAATGCTTCACACTGAACTGCTTTAGATGTAACGAAAAGATTCACACTTTTCGCATTATCAATATACGATCATTTTTATCTTTTGATATACGCGTTATCCCCAAAAGTCGCTTTACCTAAAAATTATACATTACTTTAGATCAGGCACAGTAGATTCCTGTATAATGCGAGTTAAGTCCTACAATGTTAATTCCTATAACACACCAATAAAAGATATATAACGACTACAGTTTTAAAAAACGCGATTCCTCGTACAACACGAAAAAGAAAGAAAAAGTAATTCTTAAATATTAAATTAATAAGCAATTTTTTTTTTTTTAGAGTAATCTCAAATCTTTTTTCACAGATTCCTTCTTAAATTTAATTTTTTTCTATCTGGTTAATCGCGATGTTCACTGTTATGAATCTAGAAAAGGTTTAATTAGTAGATATAAAATTTGGTATACATATAGTTTCATGTAAAATATATGAAGTGTACTTACATATGCAATCAATTATTATATATATATATATAAATCGATTAAATGTAAATAACTTATATTTATTTTAGCTACAATTAAATCAATTTAAACTTAAAATATGTATTAAATGCGCGAACTTACAATTAGATACAGTTTAACGTAAATACTTGCATTTCTCGATAATCAAATATTTCGCCATCTAATGAGAAAGTACCTAAACTAATAGTAGTGACGCATTCTCAATAAGTAACGTTCGCATACGCGTGTATAAAAAAGTAAATACACTACACTACATTATGTACGATATATAATATAATACAAAAGAATTAAATCATACATCTACATGTTTTTTCTTGAATAGTAAATACTAAGTAGTTGTAAATCATTTAGTTTATACATATATATATATGTATTTATATAGGTAAAATATAAAAAATGAATAAAAAAAAATGTTGCAATACAAATATCGACAGTCGCTTCTAACATTAATTCATATATTTCTCCACTAGATGACACTGAAAATCCAATAATCGATTAATAGATACCTGCAAGCTGGATTACCAACACACACAAAATTTTTATTAAAAATGTGATATACTCCGACTTCTAAAAACTGTCCAAGTGCTTTCTATTAAAACGTTTATTGTTACGATCGCGTTACGTCATTAATTATGTCATATATTGAGGCATAAATACGATTAACGTATTGAAAAGTTCACCATTTTTGGGGGTAAAACATAAAAAATTAGATTTTTAAAATCATGCATTAGACGAAATATTTACTCTTAACTTGCGATTTTACTATGCTAACACTGCAACTATACACGTTATTATAACTATATGCTAGTTCGTAAATACATAACATACACGATGATACGCCTACCATTTTCAAAATGAAGTACTGCTTGTATGTGCTTAAGGAGTACAAATGAATTCGGACTAATATTTATTGATTAAATGTGAATGCGATAAAGAACCATATTCGCACAATGCGATTAGCATTAGGATGTACAGGAGGTAAAATTAAAAGATTTACAAATGCTAGAAATACTGTTATAAACTATAAAAATGAACCTTTCCATACTAACCCCGATACTATCCTGAAATCAGCTGTTACAAGCAGACGATAAGCAGGTAATGCATTATCTTTTGTATCCAATAAAATATGTATATATTAATTTCACTTTATATAAAATTATATTATATAGTCTTGTTGTAATTCATTTTGTATAATTTTTTATTGTATTTATAAGGATGAAATACTTGATTTCTAATATTCTAAAGTCTTACACATAAAGATGTATATATATATGCATATATATATAATTAAAGCTTATATATTTTTAATATTAGTTATATTACATTTTTTTATTTATTTAGGATATGGAAATTAGTGAAACAGATGTACAGATAACAAATCGTCCCATTGACTTTATTTCGGTATATGTCAAGGAAGAGAATGATGAATGCGAAACAGACTTTAATGATGTTGAAATTATTGCTGCAGCACAGCATTTTTGTTCTATTGAAATAAAAGAAAGCAAATGTTACGATAAAAATTATAAACGAGGAGAGTTTAATATAGATAATGATAATAACTGGGAAGATAGGAAAAATATAGAATCACCCAATTCTAATACAGATGCTATGCAATCTAGCGAAGCTTGTAATATTGGTAGCATTCTAACAGACTCTATTTGTCTGGATACATTAGATTCTGATGCTACAAATGATCAAATTAAAAAACAGATTAACCAGCCTTCTGAAGTTTTTGAATCTCAATCGGAAGATACAGAAACAAATTATAATATCTCGACCGTTGCTACGTCTAATCAATTTTTAGAAAGCTTGAGTCTAGATATAAAAAAAGAAAATAAACAATCAGCTCATAAATCTAATTCCGATGGAATTTATATGACAGAATGGTTATGCGATGTAAACAGTGATGCAAATCTACGATTAAAAGTTTTAAAAAACGATAAACAAGAAGTACAAATTCCCACTGACATCGAAGCTACAATTACACCGATAGCTATTTGTAAGGATCAAACATTAGACCACAGTGGTAGTTTGACAAAAGAAGAAACTAAGAAATACAATACAAGTAAGAAAAGAACAAAATTAAAGTCATCGACAATAAATGATTACGAAGAAAGATTAAGGAAAAAAGCTGAATGCATGAGAGAAAAACGAAGAAAGTTATATGAAAATGAAAGTGAGGAGCARAGAATACAAAGACTTGCAAGAGAAGCTGCCAAAAGACGAGAAATGAGAATGTATTACGAAACTCCAGAACAAAGAAGAAAACGGCTTGATGCTGAGGCAGCAAGAAAAAGGCAATATAGATTGTATAACGAAACACCGGATGATAGAAGAAAACGATTAGACAGAGAGGCAGAAAGAAGAAGAATTAAGCGTCTCTCTTTATATGCCAGTGAATCCCCAGAACAACGCAGAGAAAGGTTAAACAGAGAATCAGCCAAAAGAAGAGAGGCTAGATTAAATCAATATGCAAAGGAAACGGAGGAAGAAAGGAAGGAAAGACTACGCAAAGATGCTTTAAGAGCCCGAGAAATAAGATTCACAAGATCTGCAGTAGAAACCGAAGAGGAGCGTAGACGAAGGTTAGTAAAAGATGCTCTTAGAAAAAGAGAGGTAAGAATGCATGGAAATCATTCGGTAAACAGCGGTTTTACAGAACTTCAAACCGTTCGTAATTTTGAAGAGTTAAACAATGCACAGATAAAAAACAATCCAGATAATCAAATAGGAGGTCATTATCTTAGTAACTGGATGATGTGGTTTCAAAATACACTAGCTCAGCCTGTACATATTGGAGACCAAATATTTGAATCACGTCCACAAAATAGTGGATAAACATATATTCTCTATATTACTTTTTACTGACCAAATAAATTAAAAACTATTGTAGACAAATAATAACTGGAATAAATGTGCTTTTTCCATACTTCTCACGCCATTTTAAAAAATAGTTATCAGACTGTTTTCTTATGTTTTGCTTACATTAAAGAGTATTTTAATCCATTTCAGTTGGAACAGTATTATCACTGATCTACCAAACTAGAAATGACTGTACAAGACTTATTAGTAATAATATTTTATAGAATGTAAATATTATATAATTTAATATGAATTATCATTTTTTCAATTTTCAAGCTTTGTTAATTTATGTAAATATATTGAGCTTCCAAATTAAACATTAAAATATTTATGAATGTGTGTGTCAAAGAATTTTAAATGAATATGTGAAAAAGATACTATTGTTGTCTATTGGCCTTCATAAAATTTTTATTAATTTCTAAATGTTATTGATGAATTGAACAATAAATTATATAATTTTTAATCTTAAGCGACACATATCATGCATCTAAAAATATGTTGATTAAAATATAAATTAGATACTGCTTTGTAATAAATGTTTGTTAAAATATATATTGTAAATAATTAAAAACAAATTATTCTTGCCAGTGCCTTTTGTTCAATATTATTTATCCAGATCATTTGATTATTATCAATGCTTTATCATATATCTGCGTTAATATTAATCTATAATTCTTCAAAAAGTTCGTCAATGGTGTGCGGATATACATAAACATTATGTACTTTTTACAATCCATTTATAATAAATAAAAAAGATTAAGTAGAAATCTATTTGTTACTCTTTTTGCCTTATTATTCCTTGATATAAATTATTTAATGCTATATAATATTATTATTAAATATGTACTAGTATATCAATTTGTATTATTCAATAATTTATCTTAAATGAGTGTATCATAAATTTCATATTATGTCTATATGAAATAGAAATCCTATTTTCACTATCTTACAATTAGTATATCACTATCTTTCTTATATTATTATCTTTCTTATATTATTATCTTTCTTATATCATTATCTTTCTTATATCATAATCTATTAGCTCAAAATTGTAGCTAGTTTTTAGCTAGATCCAATTTACAGTTGGATCAACTCGCATACTGCATATTTTATATATTTTAATTATTATATTGTTCGTTTTAATTTGATTATTTATTTCAAAATCTATAATCTACGTAACTATACCCATATAATCTATGTAAATATATTTTAAATTTGACGCAAATAAAATTACTACATCAAGATAATTATCTAGTTAATATATATATATATATATATCTTCAATAGAGGGCTCTGTCGTATGTTCATATGAAACTGTTCCTACGATCCACGTGGGACTAATAGTATTGTGTTATTTATGTAGAGTTGTTGGTACGTGCCTAACCTCAAAAATTAAATCTTATTACAAACACGTGTTAATAAATCAGCACTTGTTGCATTTCTTATTTATACGCGTATAAATTGTAAATTGATAAATAATCAGTATTTATACTTAAAACAGTCAAAATGAATACGAAAATGGGCTTGACAAAACAATATCTAAGATATGTTCCATCCAGTAACGTGAATATAATAGCAAGTTCCCGGTGCAACGTGATTTTTGTGGAATTAGAAGGACAAGAAGGTAGATTCGTAGCAACAGGAGCATGCGAACATATTATTATTTGGGATTTAAGATTAAACGAAAAAGTACGAGTTTTAACTGGAGAAAAAACAATAGTCACACGTTTAGCTGGTTCGCCAAATAAGCAATATATTGCTGCTGGTTATGAGGATGGCGTTATTAAGATATTTGATCTTAAATCTGAAGAGGATGTTAGTATATTTGCTGGACATCGTTCTGAAATAACATCTTTATCATATGATACTTTAGGCTATAGATTAGCATCTGGATCCAAGGTAACATTAGAGAAGAACATAATATATTATATCTATTTTGTGGATATTAATATTCTTTAATATATTTTTTCTCTTTTTCAGGATACAGACATAATAATCTGGGATGTAGTAGATGAGACAGGAATATGTCGGTTGAAAGGACATAAAGATATCGTGACTAAAGTTATTTTTATGTCTAAACAAAATATAGTTATTAGTTCCAGTAAAGATACATTAGTGAAATTTTGGGATTTAGATACAGAACATAACTTTCGAACCCTCGTAGGTCATAGATCAGAGGTATATTTTTGATTAAATTTTTTTGTAATATCGATAATAAATATATATAAATATTTCTTTTGTTATCACCATTTAGGTCTGGAGTCTTGCATTAACAAAAAATAATCAATATTTAATTACTGGATGTCGTGATAATGAACTACGTCTATGGAAATTGTTTTTCGTTGATACAGAAATTACTGAATGTGATATTAATGTAGATACTTCGAATATCAATGAAGACGAAACCACAGACATGGTATGTCTAAGTACATTTTTTCTATAAAAATGAATTTCTGTATGAATATGTAATTTAACATTTTTATTAAAAACTTTATAGCAAAAATATCCTTTAAGATATAGTTTTGTTGGAAGTATTTTAAGAAGTTCTAAAGGAAGAGTTGTTTCTCTTGAAGTTGATCCATCGGAAACAATACTTGCTTGTTACGGAACAAACGATACAGTAGAATTATTTCATTTCTTACAAGAAAGTAAAGTAAAAGAAAATATGTCAAAAAAACTGATAAAAAAAATAAAGAAGGCATCTGAGTATGTTTATGAAAATTATTATAGCTACATATTAATAGGTTTATTAAATTAAAAATAATAAAAATCATTTATTTCTACAGGAATACAGATGAAGTAAATACTCAATTTCTTAATACAGTAACTTTAAGGGATGAAATCAAACGCCTACCCCATATCAAAGTATCTGATAAAGTTAAAGGATTAGATATGGTTATGGGTAAAGGAGGAGAACTAAGGGTTAGTTTTATATATATAATTAATATTATATAATAATCTAATATTTTATATAGGCTTTCTCTACTCTCGTTTTTAATATTATAACAAAATTACTAATTATGACATATGTTTGTTGTAGATTTGCATTGGAGTCGATGATAACTCTCTCGATTTATATTCTTTACAAATAGAAGAAAGAGAAGCAGAAGCAAAACGTTTACGATCTATAAAAGCTCATGGACATCGCACAGATGTTAAAGTTGTATGTTTCAGTTCTGATGGTCTAGCCTTCGCCACAGCAAGTGGTGATTCTATTAAATTGTGGAATAGGTACTATTTTTTATATATAGTATTCTTTTATGCATACTTTAATTTTAAGTAAATTTATTTATTGCATATTTTTATAGATCTTCTTTAGCTTGTATACATACTATAGAATGTGGACCAGCTTTAACAGCAACTTTTGCACCTGGTGACCGATATTTGATAGTAGGATTAAAATGTGGTAAAATGCTTATCGTTCACTTGTTGTCAGGTGAAATTTTAGAAAAAGTACCAGCGCATACTGGGGCTCTTAGGAGTGTTATTTTATACCCGGATATGGTAAATTATAATAATAATAATAATAATAATAATAATAATAATAATAACATTTACATTTTCTTGTGTAAAGAGATAATTCAATTAAATATTAATTTTATATATAGAACGGAGTTGTAAGTGGCGGTGATGATAAAAATGTACAATTTTGGAATTTTGAAATTTTTGCTGATATTGATAGACCAACAGAACCACAAATTTTATCTGTGACACATACAAGAACTCTTAAATTAGAGGAGTGTGTATTGTGTGTAAGGATAAGTCCGAATAATAAATTTCTTGCAGTGTCTTTATTGGATCTCACTGTAAAGATATTCTTTTTGGATACATTTAAGGTAATTAATAACGAAAATATTAATGACACTAATATTTAATAAGATAATATATATTTACAAAATTTATTCCAGTTTATCATATCACTTTATGGTCATAGCCAACCAGTTTTATGCATGGATATATCTAGCGATTCTACTCTTATCGCAACAGGTTCTTCTGATCGTAATGTTAAAATTTGGGGTTTGGATCATGGAAATTGTCATAAATCAATATTTGTACACGATAATTCCGTGACAGGACTTGCATTCGTTCCCAATACTCATTATTTTTTTACTTGTGGTAAAGATGGTAAAGTTAAACAATGGGATGCTGACATATATAAAAATATCGC